CCGCGCGGCCTCGCTGCCACGCCCCCTACCATCGCCTTCCCCCGCGTTCACTCGCATAACGGAGTGGCGCAGGGCGGAGAACTAGGCTGCCCAACCTTGTGTGCCGGTTCAGCGGAGGAGGAAAACGGTTGGAAACGAACCTCTGTTAACATAGACTTCATCGTCCTCTTTGACTTCTTCCTCCTCTTCCTTCTTCTACTCCCCCTTGCATTCGTTTATTTCACATTCTATGTGGTCGTTCATATCGTTTCTCTCTCTTCAGTTTCCTGCCTATTCTTTTTTTGCTCTGGGAAGGGGAGATGGTCAGCTAAACTCCCGGTTCTACGTATAGGAACAGATACAAAATACGAAATGAAAGATTGGGTACTAACCATTCTTGGGGAACAGTCAATATCTATTGTTGGCCCAATGCATTGACAAATGGTTTCCATGAGTTTCCTCATTTCTTTCTAGTGAATGTCGGAGCAGAGCTCTAATTAAAAGAAAAACAAATCAAACGCAATCATCCTCCCGATTCCATTCCTGTCTCGGAAGACGGGCTGAGAAGAAACAAACATGCGAAATGATTGAAATAGAGTTGATAATATAATAATAATATTTTTCCGAAATCACTGTTATCAAGAGTATCGACTTGTTCAAATGACATTACGAACGTATTTTTGCCTCCATGGCTACATTATAATAATTATATTATTTTTGTTGCTGTAAACAAAAGTAGTTGTCTGGAAAGACATCTTCATTAATACAAAACATTCGAGTATTTAAAGATTGAATACATAATTATGATACAAATTGTGAGAAATATATGTTTTGAAATCAAAATGCGGCAAAAATATTTAGGGCTCATTCGAGTGTTTGTAACAGACGTTTACTTATGAAACTAATACAAATAATTTTTCGAGAGTAAGCTATATCCAGCAACAGCATTTGCATAGAGGTAAGGAATGTGGTCGACCAGGTGTTAACGTTTTATTAAATGTGGCTTCCAGGCCAGCTGTTGTATGTTGCATTCCAGCGGGAGGTGGCTGAACTACTTGAGGTATTAAAATGAGATATTAAAACAGATAGCTTATCACTAAGAGGGCGTGTGTAAACAGCGTAGGCATGTAGTGTATTAACGGAAGTACCTCTGCATACATCGCATTTTTTCGATCGTTTGAGAAGAAAAAGATATGAAACTAGTGGTGATACAACACTACTTTCTCGCAATATTGGTAACGGTTGCGTAATATTATAAT